TATCTACCTCATCTATGAACTGCTGGACGAACTGTGGGAACATGGGAAGTCTGGACCTACAAATCCAAAGCTGCAGGATCTCCAATGACACAGGGCAGCAATGGTATTCTAGAGGAGTCCCAGTGAGAATCCAGTATTGATAGTGTAGCAGGAGCCAGAAGCCTCATAACAATGACTTATTGCAATGAACATTTGCAAGTAGAGAAGTGTGGACAAAAAGGTATATACTATGGGACATACTATGATAGACTTCAGCTTCCACTAGATTTTTTGGGGGAATGAGGGGAGGTTGCAAGGACAGAAGACAGGTATAAAAGAACAGGGAGACGAGTGGGACTAAGGTGCATGATATGAAACCCACAAAGATACCAATAAAGCGTTAAATTAAAAAGGAAGGAAGAGGAGAGGGAGGGTAGGAGGGAGAGAGGAAGGAAGGGAGAGAGGAAGGCAGGGAGGAAGGGAAGGAAGGAGGGAGGGAGGGAGGGAGGGAAAGAAGCTGAGCAAGCCATGGGAAGCAAGCCAATAAGCAGCACTCCTCCATGGCCTCTGCATCAGCTCCTGCCTCCAGAATCCTTCTGTTTGAGTTTCTATCCTGACTTCCTTTGCTAATAAACAATGTGGAAGTGCAGTAAACCCTTTTCTGCCCAACTTGCTTCTTGGTCATGCAATAGAAACCCTAAAAGAAAGGACTAATTTTGAAAAATCACTAAAGTACATTAGCTGTGTCTTAACCAGACTCAATTTAATGATCATAGTTTTTATCTTCATAATTGGTTATGTTTATTTTTTATTAGTTACATTTTACTAACTGTATCCCAACTACATCCCGCTCCCTCATTCCCTCCCAAACCTTCCCTCCCTCCCTCATCTCCTCCCTGCCCCTTTCCAAGTCCACTGATTGGAGAGGACCTCCTCCCCTTTCTTCTGACCCTGGTTTATCAGGTATCTTCAGTACTGGTTGCAAACTCCTCCTCTGTGGCCTAGCAGGACTGCTCCTCCCCTGGGGGGTGGGGAGATCAAAGAGCCTGCCATTGATTCCTGTTTGAAATAGTCCCTGCTCCCCTTACTATGGAAAAACAATTGGTTACTGAGCTACCACAGGCTTCATCCAAGCAGAGGTTCTAGGTTATATCCTTACATGGTCCTTGGTGGAGTGTCAGTCTCAGAAAAGATCCCTGTGCCCAGATATACTTGGTCCTTGTGGAGCTCCTTTCCATGTCATACAAACTCCTTCTTTCATATGATTCCCTGTACTCTGCCCAAGGTTTGGTTATAAGTCTTAGTATCTGCTTTGATACACTGCTAGGTAGAGTCTTTCAGGGGCCCTCTGCAATAGGCTCGTGTCCTGTTACTTGTTTTCTCCTACGTCCAATGAACCTCCCATTTGTCTTTCTAAGTGAGAATTGATCATCTTACTCTGGGTCCTCTTATCTTCTTTAGGTGTATAGATTTCATTATGTTTATCATATCTTATAGGACTATATGAAAGAGCTGTGTTGTATTTCTATTTTTGCAGAACTTTGTTTTTGTTACCTTTGGCTTTAAAACTGAGAATCATGTATAACTGCAAGGTTTTATTCCCTTATAGTTTATTTATGAAATTATGTATCAAGGGCTTAATGTTTTCCAAAAAGAAAAAATATAGATATGCTACATTTTCATTTATTAGCTCAACTTTAGAACATCTCACCATGGTTCCCTTTCTCTATTCATCTTTTGCTTTGCTTTTGTTTTTTATGTATTGTGGTTTGAATAGAAGTATCCTTTACAGATACATGTATCAAAGGCTTGGTTCCCAGCTAATAATGCATTATAGAAGGGTATAGGTACTTTTTAGGAGGAGCATGGTATGAGAACATGGGCCACTGGAAGGGGAGATCATTGTTACCTATATTTGAACAGGGCTTTTTTTGTCTACTTCCTACCCACCAGGTCAGTAGCTTGTCACTTGTTCCTAATACCATGGTATTCAGCCTCACCAAAGGCCCAGAAGCAACAAAGCCAAGCACTATGGACTTAAGCCTCTGACAATCTGAACCAAAATAAATCCTTCCTCCCTTTCATTGTTCAATTAAGTTATTGTTCTCACAGTAATATAAAAGCAACTATTGCACAAGAGGAATAATAGTTTTTATTTATCCAAAAAATGCATAACCTTTTTAAAGGGAAAAGAATGTAAAAAGTTAATGAAGTATGCTTAATACTTTATGTCTAACTTAGCCTATATCCCATTTACTTGTTAGCCCTCAGAATTCAGAAGTTCCCTATAAAAACAGTAATGTAAACTATCTTCATTTTTACATTGAAATTAAGTTTCAGAATCGAGGTTTTTAGGATGGGGGTCATTCTGATTATAATTTAAATATATTTACTGTTCTACTAGCATACTATCTGCAGGCTCTGATGTCATTAAGTTTCTTGATCATCTTGTCTTCAATATTTACTATTTTGTCTACTTTCAACATTTATTCTTTGAAATTAAATTTTTAATCTCTTTAATTTTAAAGTGAAAACTTTATTCAGATAATATAAGCATGTCACTGTGAAACATAAATTTGTCTTTATTGAGTACTGTATAAAATGCAATAAAACCTAAGTCACTTTTAACAAAACATTTAGTTTTCCTCCAGCAAAGGAGACAATAAAAACAGAAATAAAAATGTAAAAATAAAATTTAAAAAATCAGCAAATAAAGAAAAGGAAATCATGAAATTTGCAGGCAAATGGTGGGATCTAGAAAAGATCATCCAAAGTGAGGTATCCCAGAAGTAGAAAGACACACATGGTATATATTCACTTATAAGTGGACATTAGACATATAATATAGGATAAACATAGCAAAATCTGTACACCTAAAGAAGCTAAACAAGGAGGAGGACACTGGATAAGATGATCAATCCTCACTCAGAAGGACAAATGGGGATGGACATTGGGAGGAGGAGAAAACAGGCAACAGGACAGGAGCCCACCACAGAGAGCCTCTGAAAGACTCTACCCAGCAGTGTATCAAAGCAGATGCTGAGACTCATAACTAAACTTTGGGCAGAGTGCAAGGACTCTTATCAAAGAAGGGGGAGATAGGAAGACCTGGAGAGGACAGGAGCTCCACAAAGAGAAAAACAGAACCAAAAAAATCTGGGTACAGGGGTCTTTTCTGAGACTGATATTTATCCAAGGACCCTTTATGGATATAACCTAGAACCCCTGCTCTGATATAGCCTATGGCAGCTCAGTATCCAAGGGAACAGGGTCTACCTCTGACATGAACTCATTGGCTGGCTCTTTGATCACCTCCCCGAGGGGAGAGCAGCCATGCCAGGCCACAGAGGAGAATGTAGCCAGTCCCGATGAGACCTGATAAGCTAGGGTCAGATGGAAGGGGAGGTCCTCCCCTATCAGTGGACTTGGAGAGGGACATGGGAGGATATGAGGAAGGGGGGGATTGGGAAGAAATGAGGGAGGGGGCTACAGCTGGGATAAAAATTAAATAAACTGTAATTAATACAAAAAATAAAAATTAAAAATTAAGAAAAAAAAATAAATGCAATAATGCCATATCTGCATATAAGTTTACACACAAGTTTCTCTTTTAAGTTTCTAGTCAATACAACCAGACTTATTTAAATTCCACAAACTCTTCTTGAAGTTCTTCAGTAAAATCTAGTTAAGGTGAAACCCATATCTCCCCTCAAAGCTACCACTTGTAGATTTTTAACATGTCATAAACATACCATCTAAGTATTTCTGAATACTCTACCTTTTCCCCCCTTGAAATAGCATTAATGAAAGGGAACTATACAGGAAAAGAGGGCTCCAAAGGGAAAGAGGATGAGGTAGTAAAATGGTAATAGTAAACATATTTTCTCATTTAGAATTTAGGCTTAGTAGTTTTTATATATGACATGTGATGTAATTAGGGACTAGTTGGGGAAAACATGAAATAACTCAAGCACAACAGAGCAAATATGAGCATAGTATGCTACACAAGTGTGAAACTGTCATAATGAAACCCATTATTTTGTATATTAACTTGAATTGTTTATGCTTAAAGATATAACATTCATAAATCTGGTTCTTAAATTTCATTCTGGGCCAACAAAATTAGGCACTTTTTATATGAATCTGCTCACATATAACTACATATGTTGTTTTTGGCAAGTCTTGCTTTAAATACTTCACAATGAAAAGGTTAGTATTTGCCTATTGCCATTTCAAGGCCAGTGCATTTCAGGGTCAAAAACAGTATTAAAATCTAATTGAAAGTTTTCATTTTTCGAAGTTTCATATGTTCTGTTTCAATTTTTCACTGGTTCCCTAATGTTGAGTTTGTTGTCCAAATGTTGAATGCAGTTCTCTTTAATAAACAAAGATCGAAGAAAATACAATTCAACGTCTTCAGATCTTCAACAAGCTAGAATTAAACATACTGTTTTTCTTGGTTTATGATGGCACAGACACTGACGGCACAGCATATCTTAACAACCATTCAATTTTTGCCAAAAATCCTAAGTATGACATTACTATATTACTATCGATATAGATTCCTATAAAGTATGTTCACAATTCCATTAATAACAACCTCAAAAATTATTTTAAGTAGTCAAATAACAGGCTCATGAAAATATTCAGTTCTGAAAGCCTAATTCTGAAACTTAAGCAGTTTTCAGCATTCCATGAGTAAATTCTCAGCTAACAGCAACAAAGAACAAACTAATGTTTCCTAAAACTGAAGTGAGATAGCCAGTTCTGGTTTGAAGCTGCTGGCACTGATAAAGTTTAGAATTTCTTAATTTCTCCTCCAAACTGGAGCAGCACTGAGACTGTAAAGTACTACAGATTTCCGAGGGAGGAGTTGCTCCTTGTATTCCTAAGTACTTCATCCTACCACAATGTAATTTTTATGGTGCCTGCACTCTAGATCCACCATACAGGTGGGCTATTTTTCTACCTCACAGAAGAGCTTCGGGACGTCCTTATATTTGGAGCATGTTTTGCCAATTTCATGGAGTATGGCAAATCTGGCGAATTATATGGACCATGTTCGCCAGCTGCAGATTGGGGCGAAAACTGCGACTTGGGAAAGTTCTTCGGCATTGTGGGCAGCTGAATACCTGTGGTGTAGGACGAGGCTGAGAACGTACTTCAGCATCTAGATAAAGCTGCCGTCGCACAGGTGGATGTGGTGGGCCACGGTGGAAGAGGTGACGGTAGCGATAGCGGCCATAGTGATGGTAGTGGTGGCCATTGTGGTGGTGTTCTCCTCTCTCATCTTCCGGAAAAACTCCACCTCTCAGGTCACGTACCAATCCTTGTAAACTGTTCAAATCTTCTTCCTCGTCATCCCACACAGAGTCTGCATTGCCCCGATGCCTTCTATGGCTATCACCAACCCAGCGTCCAGCATGTGCTCGGTGCTGAAACGCCTCCTGTTCTACGTTCCTATGATACAAAACCTGTCTGATGACGTGGGCCCCTGCAGTCGGCTGGTCACGGTCTGGTTCATCGTCCTTGCCCCACAGCTGGGTCACACAGCCTCGGCAGAAGTTGTGCCCACAGCCGATGGACACAGGGTCCTTAAAGTAATCCAAACAGATGGCGCACACTGCTTCTTCTCGAAGTGACTGCATAGGGCTGGGAGGCCCTTTAGGGGCTGCCATCGTAGAGCACACGCACAGGTTCCTCAGAAACTGAAAGGCTGAGGCCCTCGCTGCCCTGCCAAGAGGCACAAAGCATGAAAGCAAAAGTGGAAGATAAACAAGCAAAAGTCTTGTTTATCCCCAAAGGTGCTAGCCCTCACTGCCCAGCCAAGGGGCGCTAAGGCCTAAGGCCTTGCTGCCCAGCCAAGGGACCCAAAAGTCGTTGACCTGAAGGCCCAGCCGAGGGGCGCTAAGGACTGAGGCCTCGATGCCCTGCCGAGGGCGCAAAGGTGGTAGGCCTCGCTGCCAGGCGGAGGAGCATTAAGGACTAGGGCCCGCTGCCTAGCCGCGGGGCACGAAGGTGGTAGGCCTCGCTGCCCTGAGGAGGAACGCGACTCCGGCCGGTCCTGTGGACCAGCTACAACCCGCTGCCGCCCTCCACTCCGCTCAGGTCCTCCACAACACCAAGACAACTCACCGCCTCCTCGCTGCCGAGCCCCGGCTCAGAGCCAGGCGGCCGACTGGGGCCTCGGAGACCCGACAGGCCACTCTTCCGCCTGCCCTCCAGCTCAGTCTTCGTCGGAGACCAGGAGACACAACCGGCAACAACCAAGCGCGGCCAGCGACTGCCTCACATGCTGCGGCTCCGCGGCTATATAAGCCACCCGGAAATGACGTCAACTCGCTCGCCACAGGTTCCGCCCCCCGGAAAGTGACGCTCTGGGCCATGGGTAGGCTGCCGTCTCGATGGTGCTTCAGTGCGGAAGCAAAGGTGATGGAGGACTAGAGAAGGCCGAGGGATGCTAGAGCGTACCTACCTGCAATCTCGGCACGTGAGAGGTGAGAAGTCAGGCGGTGAAGACAGCCAAACAGACAGATAAAATGAAAACAGACTGGAGGGCCAGAAAATAGGGAGGACTCAGGTTTCAAAAGCTGTTTTCTAGTTCGTCGTCATGGTTGTCATCTTCTTATTCCTCCTTCTTCTCCTCCTCCTCCTCTTTCTTGTTGCTCGATTTCCTTGTTCTCTTGTTTCTTCTGTACAATAACCACCTCCATTCTTTCACAAGCAACTGCTTCTTCTCACTGCTAAACACTGTTTCCCATCAAAATTCACATTAGCACTGACTCCATTCCAAGAAGTGTCAAGACTTAATTCTCTAGTCTCTTGACCCACATAAGAAGGTTGATGAACGTAATCAAGTCATACTGGAAAGAATGTTCTGGACTGGGAATATGCAGCTGCAGTGAGGAGATATTTTGGCACTACCTGAAAAATAAAAGATAAAATGATTAATAAACATGGAACTGATCTACTGAGAATACTGGAATCCCTTCATGGTTATTAAGAGACATATTAAGCATGTGACAATAGATATAGATTATCAGTTATTATAAAGGATTTGCTTTTCATATTTTAGAAGTTTAATGCTTTTAATATTTTTAGAACTTTAAGGAGTTTGTGGGTTTTGTTTGTTGCATGGTGGTGGTTTTTCAGTTTTTCAAAACATTCAGCATTTTGATTTCCATGCTTAAATCAGCATTTTAAAACAACCCCAAGTCAAAAAAAAAAAAAAAAAAAAGCCTGTGAAAACCTAGATATTCCAAATGGTCTAAATTTTTTGTAATTTACAACTGAAGCACGATCTTGTTTCCTCCTGACATCTTACTTATATAACTCTGCAGATTGTTAAGTTATTAAATCACAAATAACAACTGTCACCCAAGGAAAGAAAACAGCTACACTAAGTTATACGCTGGATAACAAAAAGACAAATACTAACTAAGGCTGAAGAAAAATAAAACAAAACAAAAATTAAAATATTTTTAAATGAAAGGATAAAAACAACTATAGAGAAAATTCAGGAGAAACACAATACAGGATTCTGAAACTCCCACTAACCATAAGGAGACTCCCAGCTAGCCATAAGGAGAGAGTGGAGTATCTACAAGTAAAGAAATAGATACATAATTACACCACAGCTAAGCCCTTCCTCTGCAGAAAACTGAGGTTTACCTACTATAAAGGATGAGTCAGAGAAAAGTATAGAAAACACAAAGCACACAGGAGAGTTCTGTTACCGGATACACAGAGTGAACCATGACAACTTTACAACCTCTCTTATCTAACTGTAATGCCAACAACCAGTGTTAGACCATCCTGAAAGAAATGGATTTAAGTTTTCTCTACAGAATCTAAACACATAAAAATGAAAAAAAGATCTGAGTGAAAAATAATATGAAACATGGGCAGGAGTTCACTGACCACATAGTAGAACTAGGTTATCCGAAACAAGGCAAGAAACAAGTCCAATCCCACAAGTTAGATCATTAATGACTCATTTTTATATTTTTATTGACAGCCAAAATTCCCTAGGTATTTGAAGAAAGCTTCCAACATAAAACAGGAAAGAATTAAAAAAAAATTTTGGATAAAATAATATTAGGGGAAAATCATTTATGTACATGTTTATGTGGTCATATTTAACTTCTAGCCCACAGATATTGATTTTACTAAAAAAAGCCATCTTATTAAAAAGGACACAGAAATTAGACAGACAGGCTAGCAGCTAAAAGCACATACTGCTCTTGACGAGGAGCTAAGCAGTGCCGACACCCACATCAGACCTACAGCTCCAGTTCAGAGGATCTGACACCCTGTTCTGACCTCTACAGTCACCTGTACTCATGTGCACATATCCACAAACAGATACACATATAACTTTAAAAATAATTAATCAATATTTGAAAGAAAAACACAAGCAAGCTGTTAAAAAATATCTACAAATTAGAAATGTGACAGAAAAATGCAAAAACAATTAGACAATGAGACACATGCAATTAAAATAAAAGATAAAAGAAATTAAACACAGAAAAAATATGAGTCACCAGTACAAGAGAAGAAGACAGAAAAATAAATATTTCAGCAATAATTCAACAAAATGTTCCAAAAAAATACAAAAAAAAAAACAAAAAACAAAAAAAACACCAAAAAAAAAAAAAGAAAGTTTAGAGAGGTGGGAGCAGTGAAAAACAGGAGAAGCCTCCTTCAGGACTTATTGCTTTAAAACTTAGGACATGAGGACAAAATTTCCAAAGAGAAAAATCAGAATGGGACTGTTCAGCAGTGATACTAGGCACTTAATAAATAAATAAATAATTTTAAAATTATAAATGAATATTGTTTCAATCCTCTACTTGATGACAGCCAAATTTTAAATGCAGTGTGGGAGTAGACAAAGATATTTTTTGCATACAAAATAGCATAAACTTGATCTCCCATGAAATTGTTGTTCAAAAGGTAGTAAAAACCATGTCACCAAATAAGGGCCCAAAAGACAAGATCTATAACGCACACACTGAAAAATTAATGGAATATAATGATAGTAGACTTTCTGAGATGATAGTTTAGGGAAATCACAGAACAATAAATGACCTGTAATCATTTATTACTGAGGAGAACAAGAAGAAATCCACTTCCAGAAGGATGTCTTCAAAAGCATGAGATTAATAGGTGTGTCTGCAAGTTTATAATACTGAAGACATACGTACTTTAGTAAACAAGTTAAAGGTGATTTACTGATAGTAATATACAAAATAAAGCAATCACAGCATGCACACACACACAGACAGAGAGATTCTAACTCAAATTTTAACAAGGCCAAAGAAAATATCCATTAGAAAATAGGAATATAACAACTTTGGATCATCCCTGAAAGAAATATTTAAGTGTGCATTATATAATAACATAGAGCATGATTATTAATCATTATTTTAAATAAACATATTGGGAAAATGTAAGATGAACAACATAAGAATAGCAAGTAAATACATCAAGTCCAAAATTAGAAAGCTGTAGCTGTATTAAATTAGTTTCAGACAAATTTTAAATAAAGTATTGATATATGCCAAAGAAATACACAAGTTTCACATATCAGGATAGATTTAAGAAAGTAAAGAACAGAAATATGGTTTACAAAAACCCTTGTAGATATATTAGAATGAAAAATTTTTAGCAGAATTACACAATTCCTTATTCTACTTACTACTATATGAATTTATTTTAACAACAATTTCATAAAATAATTTTATAAGGAAGCATGGTGGTGCATACCTATAAACTCAACACCCAGAAAAGCAGGGGAATGGAAAATTCAAGATCAGCCTAACTACATATGTGAGGGTAAAGGAGACAGATGAGGCAAGATATCTTATAAGCAGGCTTGGAATAATCTCCATTTAAAAATGCACCAAGTGCTCTGCTTTGCTTTCCTGGTGCTGAGATAAAACACTGACCACATGCTACTCAGAGGACAAAAGGTTTATAGTGCATCATCAAGGGAAGCCACGAAAGAAATTCAAGGCGGAACCTAAAGGCAGAAACTGAAGCACAGACCAGGAATTAATGGTATCTACTGGCTTGCTTCCTCTGTCTTGCCCAGCTACTTCTACAAACCCCAGGCCTACCTCCCAAGGGAGGACACCACTCCCTTCCCTGGGCCTTGCTGCAAAAAATAGGAATTTTTTTTAAAAATGCCTCACAACATGCCAACCAGCCAATCTAATGGAGACAATTCCTCAGTTAAGGTGCTTTCTTCCTAGGTGACTCTCATTTGTGTCAAGTTGACAAAAACTAACCACCACACCAGATCTGAGACTACTGCACACTGGTGAGGAAGTAACAGGCAATAGGAACCAAAACCAGAATCAATGGAAATTTTTTTCAGATGGATTTCTGATGCTAAGAAAATAATCAGGGACAAAGACACAAAATCAAAGTAAGAATCAGAATAAACTGAATTAGTATTAATCCTATTATGTGTGTTGTGAATTTTTATATGTAACCTCATACAATGGTGTCAGGAATTGCTTTTAAACAGGATTAGGTTTTACTATATTTTTTTTTCCAATTTCATGTGTGTTGGGTGCATGTCAGTATGTATGTCTAGTTGCACATGAGTTTCATAGATGTAGAGACTTGAGGTTAACAGTGGGAATCATCCCTATGATTGTCCACCTCATTC